ATCGTGTTGCTTGACGACCAGTCTAGGGTGCAAATTAATTACGAACTGTAACATGAGGTTCGAAGTCTCTCTGAGGCAACACAAGCAGAATCACCTGAATGCTGATTTTCCATCGGCAACTACTCAGTTGCTTCCACGGGACCTACAGTTTGGTGTGTCATGGGGAAGAGTCTAGAAGGTGTGAGCAGAACAGGTGGGTGGAAGACTGCCAGTACCAGCCGGGAAGGGGACAGAGAACGTTTCATTTGGGGCAATTTAATGTAGGCGTTCACAGCCGAGTGCAAGCAGGTAATTAATCACATGATGCAGCCATAACCTGTATTTAATTTTAGTAACAGCCCTCTGACTGCCGGGCTACAGCACGTGCACGTGCGCACACACCGCCGTGCTCACTTGGTGCTTCCGCGTCCTGCACACTGGGGTTAAGCTGCTTAAAGTCAGTAAGGTAAGTGGTGTTTTTCTACCACCTTCTACTTCAAATGCAGGTCCAGGTGAGGAAACTATATTCAACTCACATTTCCATCAACTTCTCTCACCTTTCTCCAAGGAAGCGGTGGGAGTTGGAGGTGAGAGAAATAATGGGAAAACAGAAGCACAGCACAGAAAGTTACACAGCCACTTGGCCAGAACTTGCCCTGGGGTACGCACAGCTGGGGGGTTAGTCACATGTATAAATGGTTTGTGTTACCAGTGAGGCTGATTTCGAGGCCAGATAACTTGCGATTACACCACAAAGGTACCAGTTTGTCATCTTCCTGATGTGCGGAGAGTGTCCAGCAGTGGCCAGAAGCAAGAGCTGATGTCGTTCCTTCCTGAGCATGAACAGACCGAACCCAGTCAGGGGTGAGCAGGGAGGCAGCCCTGGGATCCACAGGCTGTCCTCCCTCCCTGTCCTTGTAGGGCTGGGTTAAAAGCGGTCTGAATCCATGACTTCAACGTAAGTGTGCGAACATTTTTGAGCTTCCACTTTAAATCCTGCTTTGCTGCTTAGTCTCCATAGTGCTGTTCAAAACTGTTTATCGAGTCACTTTATAGTTTACCTGGTTGGTTTTAACATTGTGAATTGCTTTGTGCTCCTCAAGCAGTTGGGTTGGGGCTTTTCCTTCCTCTTGTCATCAGCTGATCCAAGTTGCCTTCGCGACTACTCCTGACAGTCTTTTGACTTTGGCATGTCAGTATGTAAAAATCTCAGGTCCATAGATGGTACAACCACCTCATCTCATAGTTACTCTCTCCACTTGTTCATATATAATTTCAAAAATAAAGCTAAATATTGTTTATACTAAGTGCCCATGTTCTTTAAAATAAAACTGTTGCCCAAAGGGTTGAAAAAGGAAAATTTCTTCTCTTTACATTCTATCCCCCAAAGAACTACACAATTGTTCCAAGTTAAAATCAATCAAATAGAGAATTAATGTAGAAAAGCTTGCCACTTTTATTTGCATACAAAACAGAAACGAAAGAGGTTCACAATAAATTATCAGTTTGCTCCCGTGGAACATTGTGTATTTATATCATGTGGGTTAAAAAAAAAAATCTATTAACATACGATTCCTTTGCAAAAGTAGTAGCTGGGTTCAAGAAAACCTGATTATCCATTGTTCTCTGTTGAATTTGGTCGGGTTACTCTGCTAGTAAAGCAATTCATCCAAAACTAACAGAACATAATCAACTGGCAAAACATGGATTAAAAAAGACATTAACTGTTCCGAATGGTTCTACATATACACCATCTAGCTGGATGTGTTTTTTTAGCTACAGTTTGAATAGTGTATGGAACAGTACTCCAGAGAAAGATCTACAAGTGACCTTTCATCATCATCATCTAGCACCAACCCACTAACATACTAAGTTTCTGGCATGCAAGATAATTACCATTATTTGTTGTGTCAACTGGTCATGTACGCTTTTTTCCTCCTTTAATATAAGAGCCTGTAAACATCTTCCATGACGGGTGAGGCACCTGGACAAAAGGCCACACACTGATGCACGTAAAATTGTTTCCCTTTTTCAAACAGTTCACTGAGAGGGTTTGTTTCCATCCGCCCTTTTGCGTCCTGGGGTCTTGACGCTCCTTTTGGCTATGTTCCTTGTGAAGCGACTAATTCCTGGGGATCTCAGTTCAGCGGCTTCCATCTCTTCTCGAACAGGAGTAAACTCTGGTTGAGCAAGATGAGGTGATGGATAGGAGGAGGACTGGGAGTATGGGGATGGTAAGGGGTAGGACCCGTGAACTACGTACGGCTGTTGCTCACCATCATAAAGGTCCTCAGGGTCATAGATTTGGTAGGAGTTATGTGGCAACTGCACTACTGGGATGTCTTGATCAGTTGGCTCACCGTATCCACCTTAACCCACCACCACCAAGAGTATTCATACGGTTAACACAGGAGAAGGGGAGTAGAAAATTAAAGCGCTCGTTAGGAAATTGACATTTTCTATAGAGATATATTTATACATAATGTGTGTGAGTATATATATCATCTTTAAATACACATCTTTTATTCACATAGAGGAACAGTGAAAACATTGAACAAAATTAATAAGCTGGAGCAAATGGAAACCCACCAACAGACAGCCAAGTTAGTTGGAAACCACCACTGGAATTTGTCAAATGTCCAGTTGTAATACTGTGCTTGTTATACACTGCACAATCTGCCTGCTTTAGCTTGTTCCAATTATTATGGTCTAGAATACACGATTAACAGGCAAAAATGGGTCAGGCAGTAATTTTCAGCAGTGCAAGGAAGCTAAGTGCATGTACAGCAGCAAGTAAGTTCGTTAGTGGTAGTCAATGTCGTTGATGGAAAGCACAGAGCAGTTCAGCGTCCATCTCTGACCTTCAGCCAAAGGAGACCTGAACCAGAATGGGCCTTTCACCTTCTGGATTGGTAGCCATTGTAAGGGATTGGGCCTTAAAACAGGAAATGAACAACGGGGAAGGGGAGTGAGGAGAAAGGGATAGGGAGAGACGACAACAAAAACATTCAGGTAAGTAAAACAAACAAATCGGCTCAGGGGCAGATTAAACCGTAAACATCACACAAATACACCTTATGTGTAACGTGTAGTAACTAGTGCTTTACTAATAGAGTTCCATTTTAGGTTGGCCGACATCATTCTTGGTAATTGTGTTAACTTCCTCCCATGGCCTCTCCGTGCTATAAGGAGGTGGGACAGTAGGATACAGAGAAGATGTAGAAAGAACCATTTTCTCCAGGTTGCTTCACTGGTTAATGACGGACACGTGCATCCCTGTGTCAGGTTACACTACTAGGGGTTTAGTAAGGGTCATGCTCTCATGCCATCCAGAGGCACATGGACGGGGAAGTTGAGCAACACATTTGAAAAACTACAAATGTCAAAACTCTTATGCCATGAACGTTAGGAGGTGGGGGTTCAACAGACAGACCGTCGAGATGGAGCAGGCTCGTACAACTACACACACACGTACAGGACAAAAACCCCCTGCGCAGGATCCGCCTTACAGGCCAGGATCAGACGGTGGACTTCCTTTAGTCACTACGCTGGGGTCACCTCTTCGGGCTGCAGTCTCACAAAGTACAGCAGCACTTGACATGCACGTTTTTAGGGATCTACCATGTTTTTAGCGCAAGGTTCACCAGTAGCCTCCATCTTACTTTGGCTGTTAGAAAACGCCACCCCCACCTCTGCAAACAGCAGCCACCCTGACTCCTGGCTACTCACCTCCCATGCCGTAACCAGCGCAGGAGGACGGATCGCAGTACCCCGGCGGGCCAGAAGGACCCTGCAAGCCTGGGGGTCCAGTGTGACCAGCTGGACCTCGTGGGCCTGGAGAGCCTGGTGGTCCCGGGCTGCCAGTTCGACTTTCTCCTGGAGGTCCTGCATAGAACAGGGAGATGAAACATCTGAGTAGCATCTTGCATAAAAGCATGGAGTTGAGCTCACCTTTCCAGGCCTGGAAAAACATGGCACCAGGTGTGTTACAAACACCTCCAGGAGACGCCTGAGCAGGGGAGTAAGGGAGTTAGTCCTTGCTCCAACTCCTCCAGGCAGGCTGAGGGAAAGGCTGCAGCCTCCCTCCAGCAAGGAAGACGAAGCAGGGTCCAGAGAGATGACTCGCTCCCAACGAGCCTCCTCTCTGGCTGCTGCTTCGTCTTCGTTGTCAGAGACAGCTTTTGGCCAGAAATTTAAACTAGAGCAAATGTTTCACCAAGCCTCAGACATCCAGAAAGGCAGTTTCATGGGGAGAGGACAGCCTGGATGTCTGCACAGATCTACATTCCCCCACTCTCTCTCAACACACCCTCTGGATAATGCCTTGATAGCAGCGCTCTGATGGCCAGAATGGCCCTAATGAAGTCAACGCAATTCTACACTTGTTTCAACAGGACCTGGATATCACCCCCTCTGCTTTTTCAGGAGCTAAACACAAATCCTTGTGATTAACGTGCTTAATCAAGATCTATTTCTCTGTCGAATTACAGTTAGGTATAACCTCCCATCAATAAGAAAACAAATGCAATTAATTCAGATGAATTTTTTTCCTGCCAGACCCCATCTCTGAAAAAAATACTTAAAACATTTAAAAAGGCAGTTTTGGAGAAGCAGTTTGTCACAGGGAAAAGGAAAATATTTGTGCGATTGACGACACCATCATATGTCACATCACATCACGTTACACAGTGAGAACATTACGCCAGTCAAGGTGCCTGAACTACTGACTCTTCGGCTGCTTAAGCCGTGGAAGCAGAGGACGGAGCCGTGCAGTTCTTTGCTGCATTGCGCACGGGTCCGAGTGGTCTAATCCGGATGCCTCAAACATAACAACTTTACCTGTAGATCCTGGTGGGCCTCGGGGTCCCTGTGTTCCAACACCTGGATTGCCTTTTTCTCCTTTCTCACCTGGTAAACCTAAGGAAACAGTACTCATCAGCGTCACGTTTTGAACAAAACTGTGCAGTGTTTATTATTTAACCAGGATTATAGTTCCATGTGTTATTTTTCATCTAAAAACAGATGGCAGAGAAGGAAGGAGGTAAAAAGATAGAATTATTTGGTTCTTTTTCCCTCCCTTCCCTGACAGCCTCTCAAGGG